GAGAGGTGGGGGGAAAAGCCATCTGAAAACCAGAAAAATATGAGACAACGACAAGCATTTTGTAATGTACCAAGTTTGATGAGTTCAAAGACCGAACGTAAAAATACAAAGACCACAAACAGCGCGAGCTCACTGGAAATTGTAAGAAAATATATACATTTTACAACTGGCAGCGGTTTTAACAAAAAGCTGCCATAATAATGGGCGGCTAAGGTCAAGGACTTGGTGGAAATAGACTTCAAAATAAGAATCGTGAACCGAGAAACGGAAATGGTTGGGTCATTAGAGCAAGGTTTCTTTTTACTGATTTTTTTTTCGGCAGTTTGTAACGATTATAAACCTCGAAATGAGCTCAGAGATCCGACTGTAGATATAAAGCCCCTATTAAAAGCTGTGTTCCAGCTGACATAATTTGTTTTTATTCGATTTGTTTCTTTGTGTGTGTGTGCGGAGGAAATACTAAAATTGATTTGCATTTCCCCCTTTTGAATCCCCAATTGCGCATTGAGAATTCCGTATCTAAATTATGCGCTTTTGTGCCGGGGCTTCCTCTTCGAATGGCCTGCGAATGCAAATTTTCCCCTTTGTCTTTTCTTGATGCGCAGGACGTGGCCAAGTTGGTTTTGGCTTTGGGTCTGTCCAAAAGTGTGGGGCACAAGCCAAAAACGAGGGGGATCTCTGACGCTTATCTTGTCACAGAAAACTTGGATTTGCTCCCCTCTTTTTTGTTGTCTTTGGGCTGAACTAGCGACGAATTGATGTATGTGTACAGAGAGAAAAATAGAGGGGATTATAAGTTAGATTCAAAGATTATAAGCCCTCTGACTTGTAAAGAATATATAATTATTAATTATATAACCCTATCCCAACTTTCAGAACAATCTAAGATGTTTAAAGGTTCCTAGAGAGATTTTAATCTATATTCAAAACTTTCCCTGAAATAGGCAACGTTTGACCAAAATTTCTACTCATAAGCTGAGTTGTGTTTTTTCCTTCTTACATACTTTATTCCCAGTGCAATTATGCAGCAGCTCTGGGGACAAAAAAATATAATAAATAAGACAAGATGGAAAATAGCGCATTGCGACCAACGATGGCTGGTCCCGGGCATGGCCTGGTCTGGCCTGACTGACTTGATACATTGTTGGAGGAAGTGATCTCATCGTAAATTACAAATTACACAAAGTCACGATATCAATTTCAGATATACCCGATGTGTTTGTCGCTCTCTTGCTGTTTGTTGTTATAATTAAATTGTTGTTTTTCTCAGCGCACCCAACACGAAAAAGAAATGTTCGAAAAAAAAAAATACAGACTCTTGCCATGGAAATTGATTAATGTATTTAAATTGATTGAGCGCAGCGAAACGAAGGAGAAGAATCGGATGGAAGAAAAAAAAAAAACCCACCAAAAGCCAACTAATTGTAGAAGAATATATTCTCCAAAAAAGGCCGAAAAGCCACACAGAAATTTACATAAATAAACAACAAAATCGGTTCGGTTGAGGGTCAAACACCTACACCGAACAAACAAGTTAACTTTGGCCCAGCACGAGGTGGTTCATTAGGAATATGCATATATATATATATATATTTGTCTGCCCTATATATACTCAATTCTCGATACCCAATTCCGGCTGGCGAAAGGTGACGACGACTATATGCTGACCCATATGCGGTGAAAGCCTCTTTAATCAGCGACGCGGGATTTTGCCTTGATTTTCCATGGAAAATGCAACAAAGTGTCTACTCATGGCCTAAAGGCCGGCCCCAAAACTTTTTTTTGTATGCCATTAACTAACAGTGGCCCATTTTCTAAGACAAACACACACACAGCCAAATCTCGACGCCCCCACATCCATCGGAATGGAATTTTAATTGGAATTTCATTTGATGGCAAACCATAAAGACCAAATCCGATCATCTGGTTACTACTTCTGTCGGTTGAGGAGATAACAGATAAATGCAGAATTTGTAGAATTTGTAGAATTTGTAAAATTTTCGATAGTAAATACTAGACATTGTAGGTGGCGATAACCTAGGTCGGGTTCTTTGTTTGTTTTTGGTGTAGATAAAGTCATTGAAATATTTAGAGATTGAGAGGGTTAATTAGAGGAAGGAAAAATGAATAAAATAAGTATATTTTCTTTGAAAACTATGGTTTATATTGTGCCATTTAAGACCAATTTAAATCTATGAAATATCAATCACACATTTCCAGCTCACAATTTTAATCAACTCCCCTCTTTATGCCTTAGATTTCTGTTTACTTTCCGTCGAGCATCAAATGCATTGCCAAATATTATTGGAAATATTCATGGCATACACAAATATTAATGCAGCCAAAGCTGAAACCAAACCCAAAAGCCAAAGCTAAGACCCAAGTCGCGGCTTAATTAATAAAGCAAATACAAATATTTTGCTATTTGCCCGCTGTGTGTGCATTAAAGCCCAGTCAAACTTATGCAATTCGAGTGCAACAGCGACAACAACGACGGCCATAAATTTACACATTGTCATGTGCGCTGGTCTTTTGTGGGATATTATTTTTTCTCAGCATGTTTTTCGCCTTTATCAGCCCAAGTGTCGGTTGCTGTGGCAGCCTTTTCTAACAAATTCTGTCGGCGAATTCGTGAAATATTTGCGTGCACAAGTGTTTTTATTTCGGACACTGTCAGTCGAGAAGGAGCTGCGAGATACGAGTACAACTATATGCATCCACCTGGCTCTCGAGCTTGTAGGTGTATCGGTAGATAGGTTATGTCACCTGGTTGCCGGGAATTTTTGAAGCCTGACACAGGTATTTTGCACATGCAACCAGCTGTGCCGGGTCCACCTTCCAGTATTTTTTTTAGACGACCTTCAGCATTTGGTAACAGCTTATGATAACTTTTAAGAGATACAGCGATTCCTTGGCCACAGATGCACAAGGTCAACTGCATGAATATAATAAAATCTCCAGGTTTTTTTATATTCATTACAAATCAATATAAATCGAAGAGTTATAAAAAGCTGGGCAGACCATAAATAAATAAGAGCCCGTTCACAATGAAATGTCCCAACTCTGGAGGAGAGCCGCAAACTGGAATTGCCGGGTGAATGGCTGCTGCTGCTGCTGCTGCATTGATAACCACCACCGGAGATGTGTGCTCTCGCCTAGCACATAAATCTTTTCACACCCAGAGAGACGATCGCCACAAAACAACCGGCCAACAAAACAGAGTGCACTCGAAGAAATTATCTCAAGAAATGTTAAGAGATTGTGCTTTAATCAAGGGAAGCTTGAATAGATCGTATTTTATAATCTTTAGCGTTCTTTCTTTGTACTTGACAATGTGTAAGTTTAATTTTTGTACCTTTCATCATTTAATTACAAATTTATTTAAACAAAATTAGTAAAATAATAACTCAAAAATGGTTTATAATTATTTATTACTAATTAAAATTACCCCCACTTTCTCCCAGTGCATCCAACCGGCTTTGTATCTGCGCAAAGTGCATGTAGTTTTGAAATTTGAGCTACGCATGCGACGACCACAACCAAGCCCAGCCTCAGCAGCTAATTACTAGACCAAACCAAGTTCTGGAAATGAGTAAAAAAAATATACAAAAAAAAAAAAGGAAATAACTAAAAAAAAATAAAGTAAAACCCCGGCACGTTGTGTGATTATCGCTAGTCATAACTTACGACCAAAAAAAAAAAAAGCTGTCCCAGTCGCGTTTTTGTGTTTTTAATTGGCAAAACGAAGCGGCGTCATGATATCATATTGTATACTAGAAGCGATAATCATTTATTTTTAGCCAAATTGACAGCCACCGAGAGCGGGCCGATAAAAATGGCTAATTAAAGTGCGAGAGAAGAGGCGATAAGAGGGGCACACGGACCAAGATACGGGGAATATAGCCTCCGGTTATTCATATATATATTCGTATTTCTGTAAACAAATGGCAGCAGCAGCAGCACTCCGGCTTATCAATCTCAACTCATTTGTCGCCTGGTGTGAATGATTGCCACTCGATGGTTCAAGGTTCATAGCCAATGAATATTGTGGTTTTTGAGGAGAAAAAGGAAACATTTTCACTTATTTAAAGTTTTGGATTTCCTATTCATTCATGCCAACTCACTCAGTTTACCTTTTCTGAATCGGAAAAAATCGAATCAAAGTCGAACCAGTGCGTACAACATTGCGTATGATTGACGGGCGAGTGCACCCAAGGAGAAATTAATGAAAAAAACCTAGAGAGCAACTTGCCGTAATATGAAATTCACCTTAGAGCGTGGAAAAACGCATGGAATTCGTAATGAAAAGGCAAAAAAAAAGCTACAAAAATGAATTGTAATTTCAATGTTTTTTATGTATGCGAGTAAGTCTATGTCGGGAATTGCGTACCTCGAAAATGTTTACAGTATTTTGCTATTTTTGTTGGTGCATACACGGCGTATGCGCAATCCGGGCAGCTTTTTCCCCCCATTTTCTAGTTGTTTTTGTTGTTGTATTTGAAAACGCATCGTGTCGTATGGCAATCAACGCGCACAGCTGGAAACTTCTAAGTTTGTTTACACAACAACAGCGGCATCTTGAAATGGGCAAAAATTGAGAAAAAGTAAAAAAACAAGCTTAAAAAATAAATGATTTTCCATTTTTTTTCCCGACTGCTTTTTTTGGGCAAGTCCAGCGAATGTTTCTGCTGCTGGTGTTGTTTTCGTAGTTGTTAACATTAACGAGTTGCCAGGCAGTGAGCAAACCACAAACAAAAAACACAAAAACATAATAAAAACTTCCATAGCCATAATATTCGTACGCATGAAAGGCGGCGGCAAGGAGACTCTATCAAGTAATCCCACTTTGAAAGTGAAACAAGGGGCCTATTAAAATATTAATTTATGTGATATTTCACATTTGGAAATGTTGGAAAATGGAAAAGTGTTTTTCGCAAGGTCTGAAGGCAGGCCAGGAATTTTTATTGGGTATTTAAAATGATATTTAAATGTATTTTCACTCAAAATAAATAGATTTTAGGTGGTTACTACTTTAAAAATATATATACAAATATTATTACTGTGCTTTCTTGGAAACCCTATCAGCTGCTGAAACCCAGTTCATATGAGTCAAACCCGGGCTGATAAGTGTTCTTTGACTTATCAAAACTGAGAATGGCTTGCTGCTTTCAGTTGCCTCTCAAGCGTTTGATTGTCAAGAAGTTTTACTTTGTTCAGCAAAATGAAAATAGTTCAGTTCTTGGGAATTGTCCTAATGTGTCTGTTCCTTAACTGCTTTGCCTCGCCTGGTAAGCTATCTCTTAGTTATTTATAAAATTAATTAAACTCTATTTTAAGTATATATAACATTTTAGGTACTCAACCAGATTTGAGGCCAATTCCTCGTTTAATTTATAGATTAAAGTCTGGTGATCATAAACAGTTTAGAAAGCCTATTCAAGCTGCTCGTATTTTATTGCATAAAATGAACCTGGCACATCTTCATTTAGAATTATTACGGGCAGCTAGCACACCCCAAGGATTGCTCTTTGAAATGAACACAATTGATCAGGTTGCAGAGATCTTGGAGAGATGGAAATCATTGGATTCCTATTCAACGGGAAGCTTTTATAAGAAATATGAACTAACACAAACTAAACAGCGTTTTACTGAATAAAAAAAACATTTGAAAAATTATAAATTGTTCATTCAATTCTTTACCTTATCTAAGAATATTTTGTTATTAAACCTTTTTATAGATTTTAGCTTTACAATTTGTTTCATTTCTCTCGATGTATCATATCTTATCTCTAAATAAAGGCCACCAAGTTTTCCAATACTTTCATTCATTCAAGGAATTCCATATGGCTTCCAATGAAAGTTTGCTTATCAGAAGAGTATTATTATTATTATTATTATTCCTGATAGCAAGTACGTCAGCGATTTGCTTTTGCAGCTGCCTTGAAATCCAAATACAAACTACAAAATATGAAATCCTATCTGGCATTCCACATTCACCCACATTCGGTGGATGAGATACTATTTAATGCAGTCGCCGAAATGTAATTCAATACTCCAAGAGCCGAGTTCATGAGTAATGCAATGCGATGCATCGCACCTTGACTTCATTTGCCGCTTCTCTTTTTACCTTTGAAAGTTGCAACGAAAACAGAATTCACACGACAAAGGTGAAGAGAGAGAGAGAGAGAGAGGGGCGGCGTCGGCGCTTAGCTTTTTTTTTTCATTCAATGTCAAACCGAAAGGTGAACTTTTGGGGCGAGAGACAGGCACACACACATACAAACAGCCAGGCAGGGGACAGTGGGAACCCCAATCAAAGGCTATATCCCACCATAAATCACTAATGACACCAACTTTATCTGTCTGTTTAAACAGCCATAAATTCTACACTACAGAAAAAAAACACCAAGATCGGAAAGAGGCACAAACTAAAAGGTTCTAACACCTCCTCTCACTGCATTCATAATTTATGCCATCTTTCCAGACAGACGCTCTTTGATATCAAATTATTTTTGCCGCCACATGAGTTATGATGCTTTGCATCCGCCAGCCAAATTGCCTCAAAAAAAAAGGGGCTCTAATACCAGTCCAGTTTATATGCGATATATATATAATTTTGTTGTTTTTTAAACACTAATCTCTGCCTGTGGCTTCCTGTTTCAAACTTTAATTAAAGGAGGGCACTGGGAAAAATATATTTAATATATAACAAAATCACTTAGAGCTATTAAACCAAGACTTAAAATAATGCAAAAAATATTATACGACTTTCAGGGAATTTTTTAATTATTGTGTGGCTTTTCAGGGTATCGCCGGCAACACATGTTTTTTGTTTTCAATTTCTCAAGCTGAAATAATCTTATAAATTCAAGCCACTAAATATTAATATATTTCAGTGTATCCCTGAACAAACCAACAGCTTACGTAAACCACAATATTTTGTTATTTTGCATAAAAATTATTATAATTACACTCATAAATAATGAGAGACAAAAGTCTCGGTGCTCACAAAGATTAGCTCACACATTAACATCTCAAAGACCGACGATAAGCTAACCGAATTGGGTCTTGGGATCTTGGGATTTAAAACCGATAATCGAAAGCAAATTGAATTAATAATACGCGGGCCAATAGCTGTCAGCATAACTTTGAGTTATTGTATTGGGGAAAAATCGTCATAATTTCCACTAATGTGCCACGCGAGTGAGTCTCTTTCAGCGTTTCTATCGAAAAGAAATTCGTTTCTGTTTCTTTTCAAAAAATCTTTCCCGCTCTCTCAGCTGCTTTGGTATGCCAAACGTGGTTGTCAAATAAAATGTCTATGTTTATGAGACAGTTTAGCGATTAAAAACGTGAAGGGAGCGAACAAAAAATCCATTGAAAACTGCGTTTCGATGTCAACGAAAGAGATTAGAAACTGAACCCGGGAAAAAAATATTAAAAGGGGGCAGCAAATCGAAAATTATATTTAAATGTAAATTAAGCGCGTCCGAAATTACTAAATATAAGTTATTTTAGTGTTTTAAGTAGTGAAAGTAGCAACCCATGGGAGTGGGTGCGAACTGGGGCTTAAAACTCGTGGAGTTTTTGTTGAGGAGGGTTACGTCAGACCCCGTGGCTTCTTCTACTTTATAATTAGGGTCTTAAAAAGGGTCGGATGTGGGCGTGTCCCCTGGCACACGCACGGAAAATTTATGCAGGTATCTTTAAAATATTTAAGGGTGAGTTGTCAGCACTTTTCCGGGGGTTAAGTATTATTGTTTGTTTCCCTTCCGAAGAAAGGAAATATAGAAATAAAAACAAAAATAAAATGAAATTGAAATGGAAGCAATTAAAATGTTAGACCAGCATAAGGTTTCCATGGGGGAAATACCACCATGATCGCTTACAGCTGTGTGTGTCTATCGCCAAACATTCATTTCGTGTGCTCTCAGCAACCACAAAAACTCATTGCTAACAAAATGATCGACGATAATGCAGGAAAAACAATGGCTAAAGCAGCAACAGCAGCAACAACATTGTCCCGCTCGAGTCTCAAAAACCCAAGACAATGTCCCGCATTTAGCGACAATTAAGAAATCAAACCGTGGCCTGTGCCTGGCAATTGTAATGAAAACCGCTCACCAGGAGCACAATTCAAAGCCGGCAGCAGCAGCAACATCTAATAGCCGCCACTGGCTGGCATGGCATTTGCAACAGTAGCAATCCCTGGATGACAGGCCACGAGTCCGACTTTCCACTCTAATGCAAATGTGCAATTAAATTGTTGACGGTGCCCGCTCCGTTTGGCTTCCAATCAAAATTGTGCGATCGTAGGACCAGGGTCTTTCAAAGAGATCAAGTGAGCGTAACGACAAAAGCGCTGGCAATAAATTGTAATTAACCTTTTTTTTTTCGTTTCTATCTTTTATTTGTGGGCGGTCCCAAGCCCATAGTTGGGATTCCACACCGAAAAACTGCCATTAAATAAGCATAAAAATTGCCAGAAAAAAAAGTACAACCCTAAAAAATGAAAATAAACGATAAGCCAAGAGCTCAATTTGATGTGCAAACAATTGGTCTCACTTATTTGCCAAATTAATTGCTCGTCTCTGGTTTTTTTATGACCCATAATTAAATGAATTTTAATGGGAGCCAGAAGGAGCCCCCAAGTTCTCGGCATAGCCAAGCGAACCCGGCACAGATATAGAGTACTTAACATTAAGCAGCATGAAGCCACCACATATGGTTACAGTTCAGTAATTTTCATTTCATTTTCGAGTGAAAAAATCTATGAGCTGGAGAGATGTGTATCTGTGGGTCTGTGATTGTATGTATCTATGTGTAGACACACACGAAATCGCATCGGAATCGGAACGGGTGTGTCATTATTTCAACTGAATCCATGCCACATGCAATGCACAATGCACAGAGAAAAAGTCTATGAGGTAAAATTTAGTTATAATAGGAACTAATTTAATAAAAATTTTGATTTTTCATATAATTTTTAAATATAATTACCCGTAAACATAAGCAAATCTCTTGATTCCTCAGGGATAAAACCACACTGACAAAGCCCCAAGCAGAAACTCCACAAACTAAGAATTACAAATCAAAACATATTGATTTTATGGCAGAGTTCTTTATGGAATTTATCCCTTAAAAAACTAATATTAATTTAAATTAAGTTCCATTACATTTCTCCCTGTGCACACATCGCTATCTCTCGCCTTTTGCCAACGATCCCAGGGACAACGACGGGACCAACGTGGGCAGGCCGAAACATTTTGACAGAACAGTTAGTCAGCTTGGCCTTTTGAAGACAAGGTGTTGCAGAAATCAATAGAACACTTATTTGGCCACACTTGGCAAGCAATTTATTGTTCAGCTCAGGCCTAGATCGTTGCATAAATTAACAGTCGACTGTGGGCCAGGCCAGCGTGCAGCTGCTGGTATCTCTCAGCTACACAGAGGGAATGGTAGTATCTATGCTAAAATCTCGATGCTGCGCTCAGGTTTCGATGGCAACTAAAAGTCTACAAAGTAACTAAAAGCTGCTAAGCTTGTGCGCAATTAGAATACCCAAAAGCCGGTTGTTGTTGCTGTTGGTACTAGTTGCTGTTGCTGCTGCAATGTTGCTACATGGCTACACATGTTGTGCTGGCGGAATAGTTGGCCAACTGCTGCCCGGTTGTTTGTCCGTTGGTTCGTTCGTTTGTTTGTTGGTTTGTTTGCCAGCTTGCCATACATCTAACTAGCTATCTATAATTGAGCAGATTGCGCTGCTAACCTCATTGCAATCGAGAGCCGGCGACGAGCTCTCTCAGACAAACTGACTGGCCCAAGTGACTAACTGACTTCAGTTGAGTGTTGCACTGACTAAGGCACTGAAATAAATAAAGGGGAAAGTCCAAGAAAAGTACTAGAAAATATTATCTATAACCAAAAGGGAACTCCTGACTTATTTTTAGCCGTAAAATATGGTACCCTTTGCAGCAATAAAATCATAGGAAAATTATAGAACATTTCTAGAACAATTATTTGATTTTTCATGCTCTAAAAATTATAAATTTTAGATCCCCTAAAATGTAATACAACAGTTTCAAGTCCTAAAACACCATATATCCCATCTAAATCCATCTAAAATTTCTCTCTCTGTCCTGGATGTTGCTGCTGCTGAAGTTGCTGGTTTGGTCAGATATCGCCCCAACATTTGTTGGTCACATTCTCTGGCCAAATCCGTGTGTGAGTGTGTATAAATTGTAAACATGCGGACAAGTGTAATTTAGTTGTTAAGAGAGAGAAAGAGAGATCGATCGGCAATGGAAAGAGACAGAAAGAGAGAGAGTTCTCATTGCATTGACAACGCGCTGACTTGTACAAATTGAAATTTAAAACGCTCCTTTTTGGCCAAATGCCAAACTGGTTGGCTAGATGGTTGGCCAAAGTGGCTCGACCGCCTGCCACATTTATTTAAATTGCAATTAGAGTGCCAGACGCGACTTATAATTAGCTTGTTGGCGGCTTAATTAGCTGGCACACACACACGAGGCCTAAGAACTGGATGGCCACAATAGATGGCTAAAAGAGAGCTAGCTTTATTGGAGTTACTCTCAGTGTGTGGAAGTGAGTGTGTGTGTGGCTGTGTTTATAAAGCTGAAAGTCGTTAACCTTCGTTGTAACACATTCATCATCATCACTCACCTCGCCAGCAGCAGCAAAAGCAACAGCAGCCGCAGCAACACGCACTCACCGCAGCAACTACAACTCACACACAGCTGTAAAAAGAAGTCGTCTTAATCTTAAACGACGTCTCCATCCATCTCAAAAGGCAGCATC